CCGACCAGCTGAAGAAATGGAAAGGCAGAGTGGAAGCAGCAAGACGTCACCAATGTGACAGCCGGAGGCAGCTATCTCGGCTGGGCTGGGAGAACAGAGGGAAGAAGTTGGAATTCCTAGCATCTTGGAGGAGCGTATTGCAGAGCAGGAACTAGGATCCTCAGACATGGCTCCGCGGGGATCTCCAAGATCAGAAGAGGGACCTGGGGCTGCATCCTAGAGCTCTGAGGAGGTGCCAGGACAGCAGGGGCTAATGGCCCCAAAGCTGTGTGACAAGGCAGATTTTGCGAATCTTCAGTGGGGTGGGGGATGGGGGGGTCTGAACTCAGCCATCAGCTAGTTACTGGGTGGGACTAGCTCTGCCAAAGTGAGGATGCATTTCTCAGGTGATGCTGATAAGAACCAGATGAAAGCAAGCAGAGCAGGGAAAAGCAGGCAGGAGCCCCCACCACCACGCCCCTCCTCTGTTCTGTAGCTTGCTAATCAGCAGAGCCTCCCAGGCAGAGACCGAAAAGCAGGAATGAGGTGTGCGGGCCCAGACCTGCCTCCCAGAGCAGAGAGGTGGTTTGGGCCTGGGAGAACACTGCTGAACGTGGCCTGCGGCAGCCTGGCTTCCACACACACCCCCCGCCCCTTTCTCCTGGTTTAAACTCCATGTTCCAACCTAACAGGATGTGAAACTCTTTCATAAAAAATGAAGAAGCTCCCGTTCCCCGCCAAAATGAGGGGACACCAGGTCCTAGCGGTCACTGTGGCTGTCTCTGGAGAACGGTCACCATCGTAACCTCTGGGCTGGACCCGTCATTCCTCCAGTTCAGCCACAGTCCCATCTGAATACGGTGTTTACCGGAAGGCCACCAACCTCCCAGAACACTTGTTCAGAGTAATACAGAGAAAGAGAAAGAAAAGAAGACAGGATGATAAATAGGCCCACCCTCGGATCGCACACGACAAACACGTGAGAAAATGGACGCAGCTTCTGCAGTCCAGTCTCTCGGCTGTGTGGTTGGTATTTGTAACTTCTTTCTCCACCACCCCTTCTGTGTTCTGGGTCCTCAGTCTGTGGAAGTTCTCTGAACAGTGACTTGAACCTCATTCCACGGGGTCTAAATCCTCACTGGCTCTCAGTTTTCTCTCTTGCTGTAGTTTTCCTTTGCTGTCTTTGCTAGCTAGAGAGGGACTAAGGGACAGCCCCGTGAATCACCAGGATCCCAGACAGTCCTCCTTTGTGATCTGTGTGGCAACAGCCCAATTTCCTCTTGATGCCTGATTGCATGGCCCGCTCCCTGCCAGAGGTCACTCCCTTCCTTTTCATCTGGTTCATTGGCATGAGGATCCCCAGGTGCTCAGGGGAAGCTTCATCTTCCAGTCAGTGGGCTCACCACTGAGTCCTCTAGTGGAAGCATTCCTTCCTTCTAAACAAGATGTCCCAGAAGAGCTCAAAATCAGGACTATGGGAAACAAAAGTGCTAGAAGTGTGTTATTTCTGACCCTCTAATCCTGGCTGAGGGAGGAGCAGCACCACATGCTGAAGCCCAGTCAACTAGCAAGATCACATCCATTAACTGGGGAAGTTGAGTCTGGCTCACTTTCACTTTTCTCCCCCGCTACCCGGGCACTCCCCAGGTTGTAATCAGTGTCACCTGGTAAAACTTACTGATGGTCATTTTCCGGATAACAGCTCCCTGGCTTGAGGGGCCGCCATCTTGGCCTCTCTGAATGCCTCCCCCTCTTCTGAGGCCTCAGAGCCATCCCCTGGCCATCTTCTCTCAACAGCCAATTCCACCATCTCTTCAGAGAGGGGGCATCCCCACTGCACATCCCCTACTCCTGGGAATAAGAGTGTGTCTCCAGAATAGGAATGCAGTTCTTCCCGGGAGCATGGAAAGCTGTCCTCCTGGCATCTGAGCTGCCTAGCAATTGAAGACACATTGCCTCACTGAGTCAGCGTCACGTCAGTTAGCAGCCCTCTGCAAGCGAGGCAAGATGCTGGCCACTTCAGGGAGACCATGAGCCCCCCAGAATACACACCACTCGGGGCCCTCTCTCGGGGAAGGGCCCTCCCGCTGGACTCCGTGTTCTAATGGCTACGTACCAATGGTGACTACAAACAAGGACAGGGTTCCTGGAACCCACATCACCACTTGATGATCATACGTCACACCTTATATTTTTATATTCAGTCACGGTGAAGTCAAAAGTCCAGAAAAAATAAGAGCCAAAAACTGATTGTGAAGATAAAGGCTTCATCCCATCTTCTAGGAGAGAATATTAACCATTACCTGATTTTCTTTTTTTGTTCACATGAACCAAATAATAATAATAATAATAAATAAAACATGGCATCTTACTGGATTCAGTATCCTTTGTCCTGATAGATACAGAGTTGATTGAAAGGAGGAAGACCTGTATTAGTTGGTAGTGTGCATAGCCACCCACAGTAAATAACACAATAGCACAAGCAAACACCAAGACCCGGCTGCTTCCCTTGAGTAGGTGGGTGGGCAAAAATCCTTTATGAAGATCAGAAAGCGTAGTGGGATGGGCTGAGGGACAGGAGAAGGGACAGTCACTGCTGAGTATCCACGGCATGGCTTTAAGTTCTCAAAATGAGGAAGGAGGCGACTGTCACTGCTTTAAAAAAAAAAAAAAGACACTGAGCCTCTCTTATGCTTTTGACAGATGATGGGCAGCAAGGGGGAGCTGGGTTAGTACAAAGTTTGTACCCCAGACGCATCCCAAAACGGTGCTGGGAAGAGGGCTGTCACACCAGCTCTTGACATACTCCATTCCTCACAAAAGCAAGTTTTGAAAGAAGGACTTGAAATCCTATTTTCCTCCAATTGAATAGCCCATGATCTCACCATAGCAGGTGACATCTTTCAGGAGGATAAATTTGCACAGTGGTGCAAGCCGTAGGGAAGTGCATGCTGACCTCTTTCTTGGTGTCCTGGTGGAGACCTTCACTGGCCATCCTCCTTAAATCTCAGCAGTCTAAATAAGCCGAGGTTCCCTGGTGGCAGTGTGAGAGAGGGAAATGGAATGCACCCATATTTCTTGTTTATTATTTTAGGCAAAAAAAAGTTGTTGTTATGCATATATATATTGGGGACTGACAGGTCAGCCTGCCCTAGGGAGTAACGGGGCTGTTTCAAGGCAGTCAGGAGAATCCCTTTGGTTCACCTATGGAGAAATGAGAGACCTGCTGCAGTGGCCAGCCCCTGCCCTCCCTCCCTTTTGTCCCCATTCCCCGCTCCCTAAGCCAGCGGGTCCCCCTGGTCAACTGTTGCCCATTGTGTGTTATGTTGCCGTGTACTCCAGAGATGGTTGAGATGTTTTGCAAACATCCTGAGGCTCAGTGATATTTATGGGTCCCTTGTTTTGCACAGAACTATGATTCCATTCTTATTCAACTGAGATCAACCCAGCAAGATAAAGCCATCCTCCCCTCCTAAATCAGGGGCAACAGGGGCCTCCTCCCAGCCCTGGCTCAACTTCTCCACTCCCAGCCAAAGCCATGGTTGTTTTCTGCCTTCAATTCTCCCGTTGGGCTGAAATTAGGAGCTTCACAGAAAAAGCTTGATGAGAGTCCAGAAGTCCAGACACATCCTGCTGCTGGGGGGAACATTTCCTGCAGGTTCAGAATTTGTTTCTTCTATTAATTGCAGGAACTGTATTATGGGACATGGTGGCGGTCACTAAGATTGAGAGGGAAACTTTCAAGTCTGTCCTTGGCAGGAGGGAATGTTTCGAACCTCTTGGGAGCCCAGGAGTCTTTATTCATCCTTCAAAGCTCCTGATAAATTCTGATTCTTCTGTAAATTTCCTTTCATTAAGTGCCTACCATTGGCCTGCTGTTTTACTTTTCTTTTGATCTGTTAAATTACACTTTTTATTTATACCTACAACAAAGCTGGGAAGCTCCTAAATAAAAGAGGGGAGGTCCTTCCATTGACTTTTGATGCTTTCAAAACCAAAGTCATGGAAAAAAATAATGACCCGACCCTCACCTGTTATTATTGCTTTTATTATCAGAACGCCTGGCCACAAGTGCGTCATCTGGGATGGGGGGCAGGGGAGTGACCTCTCTCAACTGCATTCAGGATGCCATGTTATAGAGGCTGTGCCAGATCTCAACACAGGTCTCCTCTCCACTTGGAACTGGACCTGGTAGAAGTCTCAGGTGTGTGGGTGCCTGTGGGTGCCATGTCAAATCAAGGCAGCTCCTTCCTTGAGAGCCTCATCCTTGAAGATCCTGAAACATTTGCTGATGCTTCTCTTTCTGTCCAGGAAATATCTTTAACTAAATAGATGAACAACCAAGTAAAAGAATGGATAGAAAAGGCATGAGGGCCAATCTTCCAAACTGGGGCTGCTCAGGGCCTCTCACAATTGAGGCCCTTAACTGGATACTTTCCATTAAACTCCAGCAGAAGTGTCCAACAGTTGGATGGAGGATCCAGACCAAACATTCATTTTATATGTGGTGTATATGTACAATGGAATATTACTTAGCCATAAAAAGAATGGAAACCTGTCACTTGTGGCAACATGGATGCAATTGGAAGTTGTTATGTTAAGCGAAATAAGCCAGACATAGACAAATACATGTTCTCGCTCACTTGTGGAAGCCAAAAAAAGTTGTTCTCAGTAGTGGAGAGTAGAGTAGTGGTCACTAGGGGCTTGGAAAGATTGGTGGTGATGGAGGGAGGCTGGACAACTGGTACCAAAATCCTAGTTAGAGTGGTAATTTTCAGCATTCTACAGCACGATAGGATGACAACAATTTATTATACATTTTATAAACATCTAGAGGAGAGGAGTTCAAAGTTTTCCAACACAAAGAAATAATAAATGTGTAAGAAGCTGGAATGCTGTTTACCTTGATTTGATCTTTACACGCTGTATTCTTCTATCAAATTATCACACTGTGCCCTGTAAATATAAACAAGGATTATAGCTCAATTAATTTTTTTTTACTTCTCATTTTCTTTTTTCAGGTCTACCAAGAGCTTCAGATCCAAAGAGAAGCTGCCTCTCTCTGACTTGCAGGCAGCGTCCTGGGACAGAGAGGAACTGCTGGATGATGCCTGTGATCTCATTCCCAGTCGAGGAAATTCTCCCTTCCTCCCCGTGGCCTTGGACCCTTGTGTCACAGAGTTTCAGTGAGTACCAGCCACTTATACTGCATAATGACCACACAATGTTCCAGGAGCCCCCAGTCCTCCCATTACTCTTGACCATCACAACAGACGGAACATGGACGTGTCTGCGGAAGGGAGACCCAGGTGTGGCTGCAGTATGGTCCCCTGAGGGTTTCTCAGTCTGTTTTTACCTTTTCCTGAATTTACCCAAATTATTTTGCTTTTAAAGAAATTAAAGAAGTAAGTTGTATGCAAAAGGAACATTGGAAGAGAAGGCGTTGACTCGTATCCTTCCCTATCCATGCCAGGACTCGGGCTGACTCTTAGTGTGGTTTCTCTATAAAGGTCTTATTACACAAACTAAGCCCCTTTTCCTTAAAGTGCACTTGTGACCATGCAACCAATAAACAAATCTGTCACTTAGGCAGACTAGCACAGGAACAAGGGCTGCTCCTACCCGGATCTCTCGTGAGAAGACTCCGAATCGGGTTAGAATTGGAGATGTTTTTTTCTTTCTTTACATGTTTCTAGCAGCCCCTTCCCAGAGTCCTTCTCAGAGTAAAATTGCATAAAGATAATGATATGCTATTATTATTAATTATTATTATTATTATCATTATTATTTGGTACTGGGATTGAACACAAGGGTGCTCTACCACTGAGCTTCATCCCCAACCTTTTTTAATCTTTATTTTGAGACAGGGTCTCACTAAGTTGCTTAGGGCCTCACCAAAGTGCTGAGCCGAGGCTGGCCTCACACTTGCACTCCTCCTGCCTGGGTCCCCCTGAGTCTCTGGGATCACAGGCGTGCGCCACTGCAGTCCGCATGAGCACAGCATTATTACAGTGATTGTTTCTGCCTTTGGCAATGGTTGTCCATGTCAGCCACGTGGACGGACAAGAGCCTCCAAAGATCAGCACTTGTTCCTTCCGCGTGCAGACAAGTTCAAGTTTGTTTTCAACTTTCTTTGCCAGGTGGACCCTTGTAACACACACACTGCTAGGGGCAGGTTCCATCCTCATCCCCAGAAACTGAGGCCTCCCAGTCCCCCACCTGCAGTTGGTCCCCAGCCTGGCAATGGCACATGGTAGCATCCAAAAATTGTGTTGAGTTGCTCTTTTCTGGCCATTTCTCTGGCGCCTTCTTCATCTCTTTGTTCTCCAAACTCACCTGGGCCCTTGGATAGCTGGCAGGACCCACCTGCTCTGGAGGTTCTTCTGGACATGAAGAACCTAGAACCTAGAACCACGGAGGCTTACCTTGGAATCTGGGGCCTACCTTTTACTATTTTCCATGAGCAAATTCCCTCTCAGCTTCCTCATCTGTTAAGGAAGTGATTATACCTGCCTCATAAAATTTTGAGGAATAAGTAAGTTTTGAGGATTGAGAAATGAGGCACCTTAATTAAAATGGTTATTAGGGAATTCCTACCCCTTAGCAGATATGTAATAGAAATGTTGGCTGCTAATTGCTTTTTCTCCAAGGGGAAGTTGAGGCCATTAACCGAGATGATTGATAAGATTAGAATTGCCAATCAAAATGATGGATATTCTGGTATACCCCTTGTAATCACAGCAACTCAGGATGCTAAGGCAGGAACATCACAAGTTCAAGGCCAGCCTAGGCAACTTAGCAAGACCCTATCTCAAAACTAAAAGGGCTGGGGATGTGGCTCAGTGGTAAAGCACCCCTGGGTTCCACCCCTAGTAACAAACAAACAAACAAAAAAGATTTGCCAATCAAAGTTTCTGGTCTCAATTGATCTCTGATGATGACTTTAGGAATTCACCAACAACCTTCCTATTTGCTTCAAATTGTTCTTAAAAAGTGCTTAATGTTTTTAAAAGTGCTAAATGTAAAATCTGAGGAGAGTTTTTATATTGTAGAGCAGATATATCTGCACAGAGGGAGCTAGGAAGAAGGTACATTGCAGCCCTGAGGAGGCCCACGTTAGGCCGAGGCCTCCAGAGTCACCCCAAGAACTGAGATGTGAGGAAATTCACTCCCACAAAGTCGGCAGCCACAGAGGACAGCTTGGGCAGGAAGCAGACAGGATTGGGTTACTTTCCCACTTGCTACAATATTCTGAAAAATGCTTTGTATTTCATCTTTGCTGTGGATAAAACTGTGTTCCCATAAACTTCATAGGCTCAGCTCATCAAATCCAAGGTAGGAGTTGAATTTAACATTTGGAACACATTCTCTCGGCAAAGATGCCTTAGAATAACGGCTAACAGTTAACAAGAGCCACGGTAACACGGTGCTCCCTACCTGCCCAACACCATTCTGAGTACTTGACCTAAAGTCACCCACTGTCTTTCTGATCCAAATGTCCTTGTCACACGTGAGGGAAGTCTTTCAAACTGGGCGTCACAGACAGATTTTCCTCTTTCTAGCCTGGCTTCCCCTGAGTTCCAGAAAGTTACTTCTTTTACTAATGCGGGAGTCCCACTCCCTCCACCACCAGGAGATGCAGAGGTCCTCTGCAAATCCATTCATGGTGGCCAGGGGATGGCCACGCCCTGTGACCTATTGTAGCCACTGGGATATCATGAGATCATATGATGGCCCTTCTTGGCTCAGCCAGAGTCCATTTCTAATGTCATCCCAGGCCACCCAGCATCTGGGACATTTCTCTTCATGCAGAGGAGCTTCAGATTCCAAGCTGCTATGAGCTGATGCACGTGAGCCCCAGGCTCAGAGCCTGCTTGGGGCAGAACCTGGTTGATCTGAGAACTACAAGAGTGTGTTAGAGGGGGAGGGATGTAACTAAGTGGCAGAGCGCTTGCCTAGGACATGTGAGGTACTGGGTTTGAGCCTCAGCACCACATAAAAATAAATAAAATAAAGGCATGCTGTCCATCTACTACTACAAAATTTTTTTTTAATTTTTTTTTTTTAAAAAGAGTGTGTTAGAGATTCCTTAACAAAGTACAACAGACAAAGGGGCTTCATGGATTGTCTCACACTCTGGAAGCTGGAAGACCAAAATCGAAGTGTTGGCAGGATTGGTTCTTTGAGGGCTTCAAAGGAAGCGCCTGTTCTGGGCTTCTCTTGTTGGCTTGTAGATGGCTGTCTTCTCCCTGGGTCTCGTGTGCTCTTCCCTTTATGCATCTTTATGCCCAAGTATCTCATTTTGTAAAGCCAGCAGTCACATTGGATTAGGGCCCAGCCTAATGCCCTCACTTAAACTTGATCATTCCTTCAACGGTGCTATCTCCATGTCAGGCCACTGTCAAGGTGCTGGAGGTCACGACTCCAACACATGAATTGAGGAAAAGGGACAATTCAACCTATCAGCAAGAGATGGGTACCACTGGATTGAGTAGGAGACTGGACAGTGAGGCTCGGGGGAGCAGGCAGGGCAAACAAAAAAGACAAAGGGCCTGAAAAGCTAGCGGGAAACCAACCCCTTTACAGGTGTTCACGGATCATCCACTGTACATCCTCCGCCTGGGCTAAGGGAATTCAGAGATAAATGAGGCCGTCACTGTCCTTAGGAGCTGAGTCTGATGAAGACAGGCTTGTGAGAGACCAAGTGCTGATAGGGACAATGGGGGTCACCGAGGAAGAGCCTCCTGCCCCGTGCTGCCTGGAGTAGGCCAGGAGAGGTTGGGTGAGGATGGGATTGTGCCCAGCCACAGAGGAGAGCAGCCCTGTGGGCCCGGCCCTCCCCCGGGTTGTTACAGCCCCTCAGCACTGACCGAGGGGCTCCAGCTTCCTTGGACAGCTCTGTGCAGATATTCCTGAACCCCAACTCTGCAGAAATCCCCAGGCAGGAGTGGGGCTACGCAGGGCCATGGGACAGATCCTGCCCTGTGGAGGGTATGGCCTGGCAGGAGAAGGTGGACAGTGCATGCAAATGTAAGACATGGAGTCCAAGGGGACGGTTCTCCAGAGAAAACCAGGTGGAATGACAGGAGAATGGCCATGGGTTCATTTGGGGGGCTACAGTAACAAGTTTTGACAGCTCAAGAGGCCAGAAGTCCAAACCTGAAATACCCACAGGGTGGGTTCCCTCTGGAGGGTCAGAGGAAGAATCTCTTCTGGGCCTTTGTCCTTCTGACCTCCGTGGCCTTCCTTGGCCTTCCTTCCTTTAATCCCTGCCTCCAGAGGTGGGAGTGAGCCTCAGGTGCCCTTCCTGACACCTGTCATGGCTGGGCCATCAGCATCAGTGTCTGGACTTGCTGGAAAATGTCATGCCAGACTAGTTTTTGCATGGGGCGGGGTCCTGGAAGTCTCAGAAGATGTTAGCACTAGTCCTCCATCGTCACATGGTCCTCCTGTGTCTTCCCCCTTTTGGACCTTATAAGGACCCACCTCTGGATTTAAGGTCCATCCTAATCCAGGATGATCTCATCTCAAAATCCTTGTCTTAATTACATCTGCAAAGACCCTGCTTCTAAGTGAGATCGCCTTCACAGGTACCAAGAGCTAGACTCTTGTTGAGGGTCACGGTTCAACCAACTATATGCAGTTAACCTCAAGTTCAGGGTGAGATGCCGGGAGTCTCTGAGCTGGGTCTTGTAGGAGAGGCAGGATTGGGCCTGTGGAGAAAAGTGGAAAGGACCTTCCAGAAGGTCAAGCCGGGAGAAGGTGCACCCACACAGAAGACAGCAGCCATGTTGGAGGAGAGGCTGAGCTGGATTTCGTATCTGAAGCTACCTCCGTCATGACCAAGGTCATTGCCGAATTCCAACACGGAGTCAAGCAACACAACAGAAATAGCAAACACAGAGTGCCCATCTCCTCCCTTCCTGTAGAGCAATTCCAGCTTGGCCTAGAGTTGTTTTGTTCCAATTCCCTTAAAATATCTATGTTCAGGCAAAAGTATCCAGGGAGATTAGCAGGGCCCAGGCATGCATAGCTCCCTGCACCTCAACTTTACCTGATGATTTGAGAGTGAAGAAAGCATTCTGTTTTATTATGATCGTCACCCTGGAGACTATGACAGTTCCCTGAGATTCCGTGGCAGAAAGCAGATGGTCAATCCCAGGGTGGGTTCATATGAGGAGCAAGA